GGCAGTCGCCGCTGGACCTGGCCATGCTGGCCCCCTACATCCCCATGGACGGCGACTTCCAGTTGGGCGGGGCCGAGCCCCAGAGGGGGCGGGGCCTGCGCCGCCCCGGCCCCGCCCACAAGGCCGAGGCTCCGCCCCCGAGGCCACGCGCCCGCAGCTTCCCCGGGCGAGGCCCCGCCCCCTCCCGGGCTGGCCACGCCCTCCCGAGATGGGGCAGCGACCCCGCCCTCGGCCACGCCCCGCGGCCACGCCCTGCTAGGAAGAGGTGGGTGGGGCTTGGATGAATTAATGAGGGGCGTGGCTTGGTTGGGTGTGGCGGTGGGAGTGGCTGGGAAGGGGCGGGTCTGGGTGGGGGCGTGGCCTGTGAGGCTGTGTCCAAGGGGGCGTGGCTACAGAGAAAATGCCTCGAGGGGCGTGGCATGGAGGGAGGGTGTGGTGGGGGCGTGGCTTTTAGGATGGATGTGACTCTAAAGGGGCAGGACCTTTTTTGGTTATGTGGGGGCGTGGCTTAAAAGGGCATGGCTGGGAGGTGGGAGGGTGTGGTGGGTGTGGCATGGAAGGTGTGGCTGTGGGCGTGGCCACGGGGATATGGGAGTGGCTACAGGCTTGTGGGTGTGGTTATGCAGCTGTGGGCGTGGCTACATGAATGGGCGTGGCCAGGGAGGGCGTGTCAGTGGGTGTGGCCTGTGTGTGTCTGGTCATGGGCGGGTCCAGTGTGGGCTTGTCCATGAGCGTGGTCGGTGTGGGTGTGTCGGTGGGTGGGGCCTGTGAGGGTGTGGTTGTGGGCGTGGCCTGTGTGGGTGAGTCAGTGGGCGTGGTCCGTGTGGGTGTGCCATATATGGGTGTGTCGGTGGGCGTGGTCCGTGTGGGTGTGTCGGTGGGCGTGGCCCGTGAGGGTGCGTGGTGGGCGGGGCCTGACGCGTTCCGCAGGCCGCGGGAGCCGAGCGCGGAGGAGCCGGGAGCCCCCCTGAAACGGGCGGAGCTGGACCCCCAACTGCTGGTACGGGACACTGGGGACA